GTGCTGGCACACACAGCAGGACTGCAGCCCCGTCCACAAACGCCGCCACCTCCTGCCTTTCGCCAAGGGTTCCCTTCTCCAGGCCAGGACCATGGGGGGCAGAACGGCCAGCGAGGCATCGTAGCTCAGCCCCAAAACAGCGTGGGGGGTGGGGGGAGAGGCGTGCGTCCACCAGTGCCCGGGACAGGGGGCGGCACAAAGGTGTGTGTCCAGACCCCACCCAGCAGCACCACCCCCCCCGTGGGAGACGCTGGGGGACCCAGGTGCCCAGGACTGAGGGCCAGGTGCCCACAGACCATATCGTGCAGCAGTGTGTGGGAGAGGGGCCGCCAGCAGTGGGCACCCCACTCAGCACCCACCTGAGGGGTCCCGGGTGTCACTTCTAAGAGCTTTCTATGGAAAAATTACTACCTTCCAAACAGCTGGTTTACAGGAACTGGGGGATAGGAAGGACGTTCCACGGGGCTTTCTGGGTAGCTGAACCCCAAGAGTAAATCTCCAAACTGGCTTCTGAATTCTGCAGGGACTGTGGCCAGCAGACAATACCATTTGGTGTGACCTGAGCAGGGCCTCGGCCCCTTCAAACTGGCATCACTGTCGTGTCTGGAAGACCAGCTCAAGGACTTTGCCAATAATTTCAAAACAGTGAGTTTTCTTATCTTTAAAGAGGAAAACCAAATTGCACCCTGGGGACAAGAGAGTGAGAGAAGTGGGGATAAAACGTGTCCCTTGTCATTTGTCTCGTTCCAAGAGCCGCACCGTGGACGGCTCTACTCACTCCCCCGCGGATCAGGGCCCCATACCTACGAAGGCACTCGGGCAGAAGAAACGTTTGTCGATCAGAATGAATTCAGAGACTGCTGCCCAAGTGCCCCGCGGCTGCATCCATGGTAAAAGGCTTCACCGGGTGTCACCGGGCCACCGCCAGCGGCTCTGGGATCCCCTGCACTGCCAGTCCTTGGAGACAACTCAGGGCTTCCTGGTGTCACTCAGGTCAGGAGCCCCCATGTGTCATGAACAACAGATCCTGCTGTGAAGGGCCAGGCCTCTGGGTGTCACCTACACCCCAGTCGCCTACCTCGAGCCCCAGTTCCCTTTTAACCGCTCCCTCGCCATTTCATGTGTAAATGAGGTGCAGGCAGAAATTCACTTAAGAGAGCCTCACAGTATTTACTTTTCAGCCAGGACCCAGAAGGAAAGTGCGATTTTTCAATTATCATTACAAAGAGACTGGAAACCACCACCCAGATACTGGTGATTAACGTTCACAGGACGACAAAACTCCCAGGAAAACAATACTGTCCTGGGGTTTTCGTGAAAGTAGCAATTAGCAAGGACGACTCTGATGCCCCAAGTGCCCCACAGCGTCACGGCGACATCTTCTTAGGTTACACAGACGCGACATGCTACTGGACTTGCAGATGACAACCTGCGAGCTACAGTCCACAGAACAGAAGGCAGTGAGGACACACGCTCCCTCACAAGGTCTCAATACCCTCCAGGCCTGACTCTTGACCTCTGACGGAGTGACTCCACACTCCACGCTCTGGAAAATGAGGAAGGGCTGCAAGGTAAGGGACGCCTGCCGGTCCCAGGTGGCCCGTCCTCGGTCGGCCCCAGGGGAGTGAGAGCACACCACACCATGCAGGGCTCAGGCCACAGAAAATGAGACCTCGAGCTGTGCTGATGTCAGTCTTGGGCAAAGTCCTCAGAGCTCTTTGCGACAAGCACCTCACTAGCGCGCGAGGGTCAGGACTGTTCCGTGGAGGGAGGGCTGTTTTGCAGACTGAAAAACTATCACGAGCAGTTTAAAATAGGATGTATGTCTACTACCTAGTTTCTCTAAGGGAAAGAAAACAAAAATAACAGATCATATTCATCTAACCAAGATTAATACTGAATTTACTTTCAAGCCAACACTGGGCTCAGAATCAAAATTCAGATTCCCAGAACTCAGCTTCTCTGACTCTGGCTTTGGAATTTAATGACAAATGTTCAAGTGGAAACGCAACCAGATTTTTACCTTAAAAAGTGAACTAAAATAAAACCCTGCGCTGCTGAAGGGCAGCCCCGGGGACGGCTACCCACCCACTGGCCAGGGGACGAGAGAGGCCTCCCGGCCCCCAGCCGGCCAGCACCTCTCCTCAGTCCTGAGGCCAGTGACCCACAGTGGCAAGCTGGCAGCAGTCAAGTGCAATGAAGTCACATCAACGCCACTGCACTTAATCAGGACAGGGCTTGCTTACAGCGCTGCTCAAAGACTGACCCCTCAGGCCCCAGGACGCTACGGACACGCACTGCTGACATCACGGCCGTTAAGAAGCCCAGGTGCCCAGGCAGGGCGCCTTGGAAGCTGCGTCCCTGTGAGACAGTGGAGGGTTGTCTGCCTTTGCAGGGAGTCCTGGCTCCTCCCCTCCTCGGGCTCACAGCTGCCTGGAGACACTTCCCCTGGGGGCTCCAGGCGGACCAAAGACCCAGACAGCATCTGACCCCCATTTTCTCTCTGCAGTCGGCTTAGGTGTCTAAGCAAGCCCGGGAGGGTCCTGGGCCGGACCAGAGGCAGCGTATTTAACAACAGGAGCCCGTGAGGAGGAAGAAGAAGAAACCACATCGCCAGTCAATGCAAGGCAAGGTTTTCTTTGTGGAACAAACTTCTGCAGCTGTGACCTTGGGAAAGACACAAAAAGCCC